TTCAACTTCCCATGGACTCTTATCCCTTGAACCCCAGATCCTGGCTCAGTTCACAGGCTTATCTGCATGCCAAGTGAATAGATTGCTTATATCCAGTTCCAGAATCAGCCCTATGTACTGTGACACGATAAGATGGGTGAAATCCCCTATCCTTCCCTCCCCATTCTCCCATCCAGGGTCAGTCACCTTTCTCGGTTGCCTTGATTCAAGGCCCGATACGGGATATCCAGGAAGAGTCGATGGTCACAGAGAAGGCCGTGCCAATGAGCAGAGGTCTGGGAAGTGAGGCGGAAGTGAAAGTCTAACTGTACTGGGTCCTGGTGGAGCAGGGGGTCTGTAGCTAGCACCGTCAAGTTTCCAGCCTGGAAAAGGAGTAAAAATGCTCATCTACTTTAAATTAGACTTCAGGAAGATTTGGGTGTGTCTGTTGAAGCAAGGTGGGCATTGATGGAGGGAGCCAAGATCTTAAAGATGCAATAATATCCCTTAGTCCTAGGAACGAATAGCCTGTGCCTATTATAGAGTTCTCTATCTCAAACAGTCCAGTTAAGGCAGTATTACTGCCTGCTGACTTCAGGAGTACTGTAACCATTTAGGAACTTAGAAATGTTTACATCAGAGAGCTTAGGATTAAAACAAAGCTTTATAATGTGCTTCCTTTCTCACTGATAATTTCCACTTTTTTCATTATATGGGTTTTCTCTAAAGTCTTCTATTTAAAATGACGTCGTTACAACCAGACTTGTTATTGCAATATGATATGCGGGCAGGTTCTGGATTCCAGGTCCTGCTTAGCGTCTGAACAGCTTTATGTCCCAGAAGTCCCATAGAGTTTGTTCTACCTTTGTCCCCACTCCCTCTTTTCCTGTCCTGATTTTCACTACCACCTGTATGACCTTGATTTACAGCCTGTGGGCCAGAATCCTTGTCCGTATAACAAACAGCTTTTACACATGCATTCCAAGGTCCCATCTACCTCTGTCTATAATTCATCTTTCAACTTGCTGATGTCCCTCTGCAAGGTATTACAGCAAGCAAAAGGCTGCCCTGTCACAGCACCAGTTCACAGTCCACTTACCGAATACAGTTCTTTAAGCTGGTTGTGGTTACTCTGCTCGGTGCTTCTGCCCACCTGGAGGCCTACTGGGGACTCAGGAGCACTGGAGGCAGGAACGGGGCTTGAGTGTCAGGTCCTCCTCTTCCTTATAAGTGATGCTGGTTGGGAAAGAGACCCAAATGAGTTTATGTTGGAATGGAGGTGGGAAGACATAACTTCTAGATACACAGGACCAGGCTCTAGTACGACCTTCTGTATTTTCTGTTGTCCAGCCTGTTTCTATGTTCTGGGCCAACCGGATGGAAAAACTATAAAGGTTTCATGCCAGCTTTCCACCCCCTATTCCGCTGTTATTTCTTGCCATTTGGGAAATTCTTTCAAATTCTTTTACTTTTTCCTTACATTTTATATAATCAACTACAAATAGAGATGAAAACAAGTACCTTTTATAACAACAAGGCAGCATCTTCTCCCGGAGGGTGATCCGGTACTTGTAACAGTAAAGGTAATAGGCGTATGGTGACCAGATTGGGTAGAGGCAGTTTCGTGTTTTTCCCCTCTTGATATAAGAAAGGGAGTAGACGGAGGGGCGACACCTGTTACGAGGCAGTTTTTCAGTTCAATGCCTCCCTGTGGCAAAGTGAGGTTCAGAGGTGGGTGACAGAGATTTAGGCAGCCTGGTGTCATTGTGACCCCGCTGGCACTATGACATGGACAGAGGGTCAGCCCTTATGTCACCTCAGGACTCCACTGCTGCTCTTGTACCCTATCTTAATCTTTTATTCAACTAGCATGCACATTATGGCTGTATGAATAAAAAATAGGACTTGAAGACTTCTATACTGGTTGGCAAACAGCCCTGCCTGAGCACTTGTGCCTACCCAGCCTGCTCCTCTGGGGACACTCCCCTTCCCCTAAAATCCAGCAACTAAAGAATTGGTATCTGACGCTGCAGGAGTCGTCCAAGGCTCTGATCCAGTGGTGACCTGATTAGTTGGTTCCCAGCTCCTACCATTTGAGTATTTTTATTACCATTCCTGTCCTTAATAACCCAGGGTTGCTACAGATTGTTGAACCCTTGTAGGATAAGAATTCCAAACTAAATGCCTTCAGGAACCTAAACAGTCTATGGAAATTAGTGGAGTTGCAATGTGAGGCTGTAGCAAAATGGGAAAGCTCACACCTTGTCTCAAAGAAGTCCAGACAACACAGTTCCATCCAGTTCTATGCAGGAATGCAGAATGTATGGTGCTGTATTGGATTGTTCAACAGAATCTGGAAAGACAATTTTGTAGTAAATGCAACTTTTAAAAATGTCAACTACTAGAAAAATTGTTGATAAAAACTAAGGAAAATTTGGTTCTGGGGCTGCCAGTTTGAGACATTTGCATATTTATCGATTCAGCAAATATTTATTGAGGGTCTGTGAGCCAGACACTATTCTAGGTGCTTGAGATACATCAATGAACAAAACAAATCCCTGCCCTATGGGACAAGTCTTCTAAAAGAGGACAAACAGAAAATAAACAGTAAATTATTTAGTGTGTTAGAAGGTAACTGCTGTGGGGTGGGCGGAACAGAGCAAGATAAAGGAAGATCAGCAGTGTGAAGGGGATGGGTAGGGTTACAGTAACAAATAGGATGATCCCCCACTGAAAAAAAGTGGCATTTAATTAAACACTTGGAGGGTATGAAGTTGTTAACCAAGCAAGCGTCTGAGGATAACAGCATCCAATGCGAAAGCAGCTAATGGAGAAGTCCGGAGCACGAAATGTGCCTGGTGTTTTCAAGAAACAAGGAGGGCCACTGTGAGTGAAGCAGTGTAAACTATAGAGAAGGAGCTAATGGGGTCAGATTGCATATGGCCTTATAGATCTTTTTGATGGCCTTTTTCTTTTACCCTGAGTAAAGGAAGTCATTATAAGGTTTTGGGTGGCAGAATGACATGATCTGACTGAGTCTTTAAAAAGGTCATTCTGGCTGCTATAAATAAGCCATAGAGTTAAGGGAGATCTTTTAGGGGACAATTGCAGTAATCCAGGAGAAAGTGGTGTCTTATTCCAGGGTAGAGCATTGGTGATGGTGACAAGTGGTTGGATTCTGGACATACACTTGCTCCTTGACTTACAGTAGGTTATGGCCTGATAAACCCATCATATGTTGAAAGTATCATAAGTTGAAAATGCATATAATACACCTACCAAACTGTTAAATGTGCGCTCTGAATGAAGACACCACCTCTGAACAGGCTTTCTGTTAGCAACATTGCTGTTTATTCACCAAGGTGCAGGTGGGCTGAATCTGAAAAGAGAGCACAGGGCGGTGGGATGAGTTGGTTTTATAGGTTTGAGGTAAGCAGTGGAAAGTTATAAAGTTACAGTTCAGGGCAGTTGTCACAAGCTGGGAGGGGGTCGTAGGGTCTGGAGTCATGAGGTTGACCAAGGTCGGTTATAAAGTCCAGTTGCCTTCTCAGTTGAGGCGGGAATAAGGAACAATAGAAGAATGTCTCAAAGTTAATTAGGCACCACAGGGGTTGATCATTTCTTCTCCTTTTGTGGTTTTCCAGTTACTTCAGACTTTCTAGTTCCAGGAACTCATCTGGAGTGTATGTGCAAGTCACAGAGGTTACCATGCTGTTTGTGGCACAGTCAGTCGGCCTGAAAGACCTTATGCAAACACCATAGCTTAGCCTAGTCAACCTTAAACATGCTCAGACAACTTAGCTGACGGGGTAAAATCATCTAACACAAAGCCTATTTTATAATAAAGTATTGAGGCTGGGCGCGGTGGCTCACACCTGTAATCCCAGCACTTTGGGAGGCTGAGGCGGGTGGATCACGAGGTCAGGAGATTGAGACCATCCTGGTCAACATGGTGAAACCCCGTCTCTACTAAAAAAAGAAAAAAAAAAAAAAAAAAAAAATTAGCTGGGCATGGTGGCGCGTGCCTGTAATTCCAGCTACTCAGGAGGCTGAGGCAGGAGAATTGCCTGAATCCAGGAGGCGGAGGTTGAGGTGAGCCGAGATCGCGCCATTGCACTCCAGCCTGGGTAACGAGCCAAACTCCATCTCAAAAAAAAAAATTATTGAGTATTTCGTGTCACTTATTGATGTCCTACTAAATGTACATGACTTTCACACCATCACAAACTCAAAAACTGTAAATCCAATCAGGGACTATCTGTAGTTTAAAGGTAAATAGAACCACAGGATTTCCTGATGGAGTATGAGAGAAAAGAGTTAAGGTCAGTCCAAGAATGGAAACAATGGAGTTTCTATCAGCTGAGACGACAAAGGCTGCAGATAACGGCAGTTTTTGGGGAGGGGGCATAAATAAATGAGTTAAGTTTGGGACGTGTTAACTGAGGTGTCCTTTAGACACATAAGAGGAAAATGACAAGCATTTGAATACTTGAGTTTGGGAGATGTCTAGGATAGAACTAGAAATTTGGGAGTCATTGGCATATAAATGGTATTGTAACCACGAGACTGGATGAGATCAACAGTGAATATATACTGAGAAGGGTAAGGGTCCAAAAACGGTCCCGGGGCGGGGGCGGTGGGGGGCGCATTCTAAGAAGCCGGGAGAAAAGGAGAAATCGGCAAAGGACATTGAAGAAGACCGGTGTCCTGGAGGCCAAGTAAAGAGTATTTAGGAGGAAGGAGGCCTGGTCAGAATGTTTAAGACGAGTCTTTCCATATTGTCTGCCAAATGGGCCGCCTTTCATCCAGTTTTTATGGTCTTCTGTCCATTACTGAGACCCTTCCCGGAGGGTACTGTCGGGTCCCTACCATAGTTGCGTTTTTTTATGGCTTACATAGCTTGTGATTTCGAATTCTCCTTTTTTAGCTTAAATATTGCTGTGTAATGATTAAGGGTTAGGGCTCTTCCTGGAGCTGGCACAGTTTTCCAAGGAATCCCATCCTTGACACTTTTAGGTAGATTTGAAGCAAAAAGTGAGAGCGTCATTCTCCCATCATTATCCTGTCGTCACAGAACGTCAGAAATGTCTCAGACAGCAGCTAGAGCTAAAGCGAAGCCCACACTATAAAGAGGAAAAGCGTCTTTTCTGGCGTCAGTCCACCTAACACTCATTCATCAGGCCCCGCCCGCTCCCCATCCCCCGTCTCGGGACAGACCAAAGCCGCGCCGGCGCGCCGCAGACAGCCCTGGCGGGGCCTTTCCTACCTCCTGACGCCGGGGTCCTCCCTCACGTTTCTTTCTGTGCCTGCGAACATGGCGGCACCCATTGTCACGGCCCCGGGCGGAGCTCTGCTGCGGGCGGGCGCAGAGCGGCTGCTGCGGGGAGGCCTCCGGGAGCTACTGCGGCCGCGACATGAAGGGGACACCCCTGGCCTGGAGCGCGACTTCAGCCTCTCTCAAAATCGGGTAAGGGCTATCTGCGGTAGGAGGTAGATATGATCGAGTATGGTTTGGGGGGGTGCATTGCCACCTGGAGGTCCCGACGTGGGGGTGGCGGGCTTTCCTTGAGGGGCTGGTGGCAGTGGTGGAGGGAGAGGGTGTTCCTTGTGGCGGCTAGTACACCGTCGCTTTCCTGGCCACCAGGACACGGTCATCGTGGAGCGCTGGTGGAAGGTACCGCTGGCCGGGGAGGGCCGGAAGCCGCGCCTGCACCGGCGACACCGAGTCTATAAGCTGGTGGAGGACACTAAGCATCGTCCCAAAGAAAACCTGGAGCTCATCCTCACGCAGTCCGTGGAGAGTAAGGCCCGGGCCGAGGCGCTTCCTCTCAAGCTGGTCGGGTTTGGCATCAGCTTTTTCCTGCCCATTCCCCTAAACTATTTGCCTTGCTTTTTCTTTGTGGAAATAATCAGCTTTATATGTGAGAAGAGGAAGCCATAAAAAACTGTGATTGTGACATTGGCCTCCAGCATCGAAAATTAAAACATAAAGGCGGCCGGGCGCGGTGGCTCAAGCCTGTGATCCCAGCACTTTGGGAGGCCGAGGCGGGTGGATCACGAGGTCAAGAGATCGAGACCATCCTGGTCAAAATGGTGAAACCCCGTCTCTACTAAAAATACAAAAAATTAGCTGGGCATGGTGGTGCATGCCTGTAATCCCAGATACTCAGGAGGCTGAGGCAGGAGAATTGCCTGAACCCAGGAGGCGGAGGTTGCGGTGAGCCGAGATCGCGCCATTGCACTCCAGAGCGAAACTCCGTCTCAAAAAAAAAACATAAAGGCAGCAACCTCATTAAGTGTGTGAGGAGAAGGGCCTGACAATTTGTGCCACAGTTACTGAAATCCTCTCATGGGACAACTCCTCCCTCTATACAGGGGATCTTAAATTTATACATCAAGTCCTAAATAAACTGATTAGTAGTGTCTTAAATCTTGTTTCTAGTGAATATGAATTAGCATTTCTTTTAGGAAAAATAAGCACTGTGAGAAAGCAAGAGGTGCTTCTCTCTTTTATCATCTTTTCTTTAGGGACTCCCAGATAGTTCTGATCCCCTGTCTCTGTTCTCACTGACAGATCTTGGAGTCCGGGGTGACCTGGTCTCAGTGAAGAAATATTTTGGCCGGAATCGACTCCTTCCTCAGGGACTGGCTGTATACGCATCTCCTGAAAACAAGCAGCTGTTTGAAGAGGAGAAATCGGTGAGCTCAAAGGAAGGACAGGGAGACTTGGAGAAATAAAACTTCTTTTCTCTCACAGCTTCCTTCCCTTTGATATTTAACTTGAAAATGAAATAGGAATTAGAAGAACAGGAATCCAGAAGCCCAGCCAATGCCCAGCATAGGAATAGTTTGATACTATTTAACATGGGCTCATTTTTCTTTTACTGCTTTTCATCTTTAACTTTCTTTTCTAGCTGAGACAAGAAGGAAAATTAGAGAAGATCCAGACCAAGGCAGGTGAGGCGGTGAGTAGAAACGTAAAAAGTATTTATTGGTCACTTTCAAGATTTATCAACCTCACCCTGGGAGTCTTCCTGATTCCCTTGAGGTCTCCCGATTGCAGACACAAGAGTGGGAGAAAGGGGAAGTGTTGTGGCTGCCCCGTAAAACCGGGTATGGAAACCTCTTGGGAGATCCCTGATGCGTTGGGTGAAGTGCCCTGGAGTACCGCGGGAAATCCCAATCTGGGCATCAGGGAACCCACGGCATAGTCTGAGATAAGGGCTCTGCCTTCAAAGATATTAACATACAAGTTGGAGAGAACACAGACACATGAAAAGATAATCAGTACAGGCGCCCACCACCATGCCCACATAATTTTTGTACTTTTGGTAGAGAAGGGGTTTTGCCATTTGGCCAGACTGGTCTCAAATTCCTGGGTTGAATTGATCCACTCGCCTTGGCCTCCCAAAGTGCTGGGATTGCAGGCATGAGCCACTGTGCTCCGCTCCCATACCTTGTGACTCTTGCTGACGTATTTCCTCTCCTTTGACTCTAACTCATAATTCCTTTCAGACAGTGAAATTTCTTAAAAGCTGTCACCTGGAGGTAGGGATGAAGAACAATGTCAAATGGGAACTGAACCCTGAAATTGTTGCCCGCCACTTCTTCAAGAATGTGAGTGTCCCCAGAAACCACTCTACCCCCGAGGTAGAAGCTACCTCTGGGAAGGAGGCCCAGGATTGATACCTTTGTTAGGAAATGGTGGTGTGGTTAGGGAAAGTATTCTTGGTTAATTTGCAGGAGTATGGGAGGGCAATGGTTAAGGACTAAGGGTTTCACATAGACTTTGAAGACTGGTAGGAGAAGGTGGTGGTTTCCAATTATTTCCTGACTACCTAGGGAAATGCTGGGGATTTGTGACTCACTGGAGAATTGTTACTTTTGTGGATGAAGTGGTTTTGGCTTCAAGGCCTGTTTCTCTTTGTAAATCCACCTCCCTAAGAGATCAGAACTGCATTTCTCTACTACCATCTATGAACGTCTATACCCTCCTCTCCCATGGAATCAGCCAGAGTAGACACCCCAGTTTTATTTGTCTGTACAGGAAATTCTGTAACCCTCTTGCCGAGTTTACCTAGAGTGGCAGCCATGAAAACAGAGTCCTTTTGAACTGAGAATTGTTGTTGTTTGCAGCTGGGTGTTGTGGTCGCCCCACATACATTAAAGTTACCAGAAGAGCCTATCACACGGTGGGGCGAGTACTGGTGTGAGGTGACGGTGAGTGTTTTGTATGCTTTCTTTTATTTCTTTTGCCCCCCCCCTTTTTCCTTTTTTCCTTTTTCTTTCCCATGACAGGGTTTTGCTTTATTGCCCAGGCTGGATTCAAACTCCTGGGTTCAAGTGATTCTCCCATCTGTGCCTCCCAAGTAACTGGGACTACAGGTGTTAGCCACCGCACCTAGCTCTCCTTTTTCTGACTGGGAGAAGAGTCAGGGTGAAAAGCTGGGATTAGGTGGTGTTAAATCTTCCCTACCTGATTGATCTCTAAGAATCCCAATTGTTTTGTATACAGGTAAATGGGCTTGATACTGTGAGAGTGCCTATGTCTGTGGTGAACTTTGAGAGGCCCAAGACCAAAAGATACAAGTACTGGTTAGCCCAGCAAGCTGCCAAGGGCATGACCCCCACTGGCCCCCAGAAGATCTAAACCTACTTTTCCTCCAAGGCGGCAAAGCAGAATCAGGAGCGGTGGCACAGAAATGGGCAAGCACCCTGATCTCACTCCAGCTCTGACCAAATACAGAATTTTAGAGAACACCTGAAGACAGCAGACCACACTGCGTACATATGTTGAATTCTTCATTTTGCCATCCCTAACTGTCATCACTGGGGCAGTCTGGTTCCAGAAGTCCCAGGCTGTAGACTGGAGAAGCTGCGTACAATAGACCAAAACCGTCCAGATCCCGTTTAGCTTCTTCCTCCAGTGGAGTTTATTGGGACAAACAGAAGAGCCAGCCATTGTCTCCAGTACTTGCCTCATTCTCATGATCCAAACTGAACATTTCTATCCCAAGCAGAAATAAAGAGATTATGTCCTTTTTAGGTGTTGTTTACTGGTGTTGGACGGAACAGGACATCCGAGTGAGATGTTTCCTTGGGCCACAGAAGTTTGCTGCCAAAAAGTAGAGAAGAGAATATCTTAGGCTGCATCCCACAGTTACTGTGGTTGAACAAATTGTGCTGAACAAGTTGATGTGTTTGGTCTTAACACTTACTCTTCTTAGATATATTAATGTAGTCATCAGTATGAATAAGCACAATGGATGCTACTTCTCCAAGATCTGAATAAGGCCTAAGGGTAATTGTTGGAAAGCTGGGATGAAAGACGCTTAAAAAGGGAATTTGGCCAGGCTCGGTGGCTCACGCCTATAATCCCAGCACTTTGGGAGGCCGAGGCAGGTGGATCACAAGATCAAGAGATCACGTCCATCCTGGTCAAAAAGGTGAAACCCCGTCTCTACTAAAAATACAAAAATTAGCTGGGCATGGTGGTGTGCGCCTGTAGTCCCAGCTACTCAGGAGGCTGAGGCAAGAGAATCGCTTGAACCCAGAAGGCGGAGGTTGCCGTGAGCCGAGATCGCGCCATTGCATCCAGTCTGGGTAAACAACAGCGAAACTCCATCTCAAAAAAAAAAAAAAAAAAGGAACTTTGTTCCTTGAACCAGCTCCTAAAATTCTGAAAAATAAGATACCTTAATTTCCTAGACCAAGATTAAGATGTGGAGCTAGTCATAAGGTAACTCTGGAATGGATGTCTTGATGGGAGATAAGGGAAGTAGACAATTTTTTGTAAGTTCAGAGTTTCATTAATAGAAAAAAGAACCCATTTACAGGTGGATGATGCCAGGGTCACTCAAATGCAGTGTGAGGTCATGCAGTTTCGGGGGGTAACGGTGGGACCACTGACTCCTGCTCTCCATACCAGACATTGGTTTCTATCCTGTTTGAGCTCACCTACCACTCTGAATCAGCGTCCCATCTCTGCTAATGAGACGTCTGTCATCAGTAGTGGCACTGACAACTGTAGCCAACTTCATCCTTGATGGAGCTCTGTAACTCAAGTCTGGCATGGGCACTATCTGAAATTTAGCATTTCTTCCCCTCCCCCCCCTTTTTTTGGAAGGGGAAAATAACATTATTTTGGCCCTGTCCGAGGACACAGCAACATTATTTCATGTTAGGGAGGAGGCAGGCATCCAGGCTCAGAACAGGAATTGCTTCTTGGTGGCTCTGGGGACCTTGAGCATGTTCAAGTGTACCATCTTGCTCACGCTGGTGCTTACCGAACCATGATGATGTGCTGATCTGGACATCCCTGAAGAAAGGGTGCATGAACATGTTCTTGGGGTACTTCTCGAATAAACTATACTTCCAGACAGAATGGAAATAGTCTTGGTGGATGACATTGATCTTTCGCATCTTTATCTTGGTCACCATGCCAGACAGGATCCACCCTCGGACACATCACCCATGAAGGGGCAATCAGTGTGAATATAGGTACCCTCAATGGCCTATTTGGGCATCTTGAAGCCCAAACTGATCTTTTTTTTTTTTTTTGAGATGGAATTTCACTCTTGTTGCCCAGGCTGGAGTGCAGTGGCATGATCTCTGTCTCACTGCAGCCTCTGTCTCCCAGCCTCCACCAGGAGTTCGCTGGTATCAAACTCCTAACTTAGGTGATCCACCCACCTTGGCCTCCCAAAGTGCTAGGACTACAGGTGAGAGCCACCGTGCCTGGCCCCAGACTGATCTTATACGTAAGTCCTATAGGAACTTCATTGCCAGTGTCTCCCGGCAGGATCCTCTTGTGAACGATGGTCAGCTGCTTTTGGTAGGCGCACACAGTCTTGGATTTAAGAGAATAACTTCTTGAAAGGTTTGAGCCTCCATTAACTTGCGAGACCCCAGCATTTAGGAAGTGCTAATCTAAATTGGGGCAGATGCATACATTTTTGCACCCCACTTATTCCCTAGTGAGTTGGGGACACCCAGAATTAACCCCCAAACTGAAGCACAGAGTTCTGCTGTCCTGAACACGCCCTTGAGGTCTGGGGAGGACCTGAAGCCTTGGCATGAGCCCCAAGCCCACTGAAATTTGCCATTTCAATGATCCTCATTCCTACTGTCCTCAAAATGATAGGCTCATTACACAGCATCTCTCAACATGAAGCTCTCTGAAGTTGAGCAACAAGCACACATTTCACACAGCTACCTGAAAAAGCATTTAAATACCTCCCATAGGTTGAGTTCTTGGCAAAAACACTGAGTTGGAGATGCACGTGCAGGAAGTTTATTGCAAGGAATTATCTGCATCAACACCTGCTGGGGAGTAAAGGCAGTAAAACTGGGTAGAGGAAGAAATTGAGCTGATGGAGTCTTAACGCCTCAGCCAATCAGGAGCCCAAAGTAGGATGGCAGCAGGATGCCCCAGTAGGGCAAGTGGGCTGGGCCTATATCTCCCCACCTGACCAGGAAAGGAGTATGATTTTGGGTGAGTGGCTGACTTCAGCCAAAGGCAGTCCCCGGATGGGGCACGGGTGACACCTGTGCTGTCAGCATTCTCCGCAGCTTCAATCCTGAAGGGGAAAATATGGGCCGCATACCACAGTCAACAATACAGTCCCCCCCCCCCCACCCCGCACTGCTCAGATTGACTTGTTTCATTAGTTCTGGAACGGTTTCTTCAGGATTCTGATGGATCTCTTTATGGGGAAGCTCAAAAGAGGAAGGTTTGGGACAGACCACAGCCTCTGCTGCTGTGGCTTGAGTTTGCAACCGGCATTCACCTCCCCCCTCTACTACGCATTGTTGATCTTTCCCCAACCCCCTCAGACTTACACTTCCGGTTCATGTGGGTTACCAGATGACGTACCTGGCCATCATGCCCTTCTCAGGCCATGACTGCACTTCTTCATTTATCATCAAACTTGAGTAAGGAGAGGCCGGATGTGGTGGCTCACACCTGTAATCCTAGCACTTTGGGAGGCCAAGGTGGGTGGATTACCTGAGATCAGCAATTCAAGACCAGCCTAGCCATCATGGTGAAACCCCATCTTGTTAAAAAAAATAATAATCATATATATATATATATATATATATATATATATATATATGAAAGGAAAAAAAATAATAAAATTGGGTAAGGAGAAGCTCCAGGCACAGCCTGTGGGTGGCCCTGCTCTGTAAGGAGCAGTCAAAAAGAAAAAATTGGGTAAGGAAAAACATACTGAAATGGATGATCTGGGTGCCAAATATGTTCTTCCCCGTTCCCACTGTGTAATAGTAGCTCTGTCCCCTGATAATGACCCCTTTCGTTGCCTTCTTGTCTCTTGGTAGTGATTTGAAGTAATCTAGTGCCTGCCATAGCTTAAAAAGTTTAGTGAGACTCAGTGTGTCCACTGGTGCAAATATTCTCATTCTGGGGACCAGGACTTCTAAACCCTTAGAGCCCAGAGTTGAGATAGAAGGCACAGATTCCCCTGTTGGGTCACTGGGAGTGATGACAATGGCAGGCTGCTCTACAGCCACCCCTTGTTCCCCTGAGCCATGTATTTTCCTTAAGGATACACCATTTGATGGCTGTTGATCTCAGGTATGTACTGCATCATGGAGGATGATGCCTCCTCCTTACAGGGTATCATCTCCAATCTGGTGCCACTGGACCTCTAAAAACGTCACTGATCGGCCGGGCGCGGTGGCTCACGCCTGTAATCCCAGCACTTTGGGAGGCCGAGTCGGGCAGATCACTTGAGGTCAGGAGTATGAGACCAGCCTGACCAACGTGGTGAAACCCCGTCTCTACTAAAAATACAAAAATTAGCCGGGCATGGTGGTGTGCACCTGTTCTCCCAGCTACTAGGGAGGCTGAGGCAGGACAATCGCTTGAACCCAGGAGGCCAAGTCAGGAGAAAAGATTCAAAAAAAGGAGTTTGTACTATTAATTTCACTAGGACGTCAGAGGAGACATAGGATTTTAGTTCTGAACTTATGAATATGTGAAACTAGGGATGATGGAAATAAATATTTAGCCATTTTCCTAGTTGTCTTTTTGTAAAGGTTAACAGTTTCATATGAATTAAATTTAAAATGAACATATTTAACCTGTTTTTTAAATAATGTAAAGTAAAAATATAATGAGGAAAGAAATGGAAGGTATTTTTAAAAGACGAAAATGGAACTTCTTGAGATGAAAAGTATAATATCTGAAATGAAAAATACACTGGATGGAACTTCTGCCTCTGGGAGGTGGGGTAGATGTACTTCCACCCTCCCAGAACAAGCATAACCCTGGAAATTATTTATTAAACAGAAGAAGACTTCAAAAGGTGGAGAAAAGAACACGGACTGGAATAGAAAATAGAAATCTCGCGACCCACAAAACAACAAAGTGGTGAGTTCTCTGAGTTTTCTTTTTCCTTCATTTATTCCACACTTTGAGCTGGAGAAACCAGCAACCAGGAAATGCCAACAGGCACCAAAAAAGAAGAGCTCCAGCAAAGCCTGTTTCTGCCAGCCAAAGGCTGCACGACAGGAACTTTCACCCATTCTACAGGTGCCTAGATTAAACTTTGTTCCGGGTGGTCTGTGAGGTGCTTCTGGATGAGACTAGCTTTTGAATCCACAGACTCAGTAAAGCAGATTACTCTCCCCAGCGTGGGCGGGCATCATCCAATCTATTGCGGGTCTGAATGGAACAGAAAGGCAAAGAAGGAACAAATGTCCCTGTTTTGCTTCCTGCCTACCCTACCTGAGCTGACACGTCAGTCTTCTCTCGCTCTTGGACTGCAATTTACACCACTGGCTCCCTTGGTTCTCGGGCCTTCAGACTGGCCTTAGGCCACAGACTTTCCTGGGGCTCTTGTCTGCAGATGGCAGATCATGGGATTTCTCAGCTCCATAATGACATGAGCCACTTTATACATCTATTCCATTGGTTCTGTTTCTCTGGAGAACTCTATTACAGTGGCCCTACCCCACCCATGCCAAAACTAAGTGGGGAACCTAGACTTCCACTCCCAAGTTTGTAACAGGCCACCCCAATACCCCTTCCAGAGTGCTGTCAAACAGGGCCAAGCAGGGAACTGGGACTTGTCCCAGCCCTCCTCTCTGTGTGCATGGTGGCAATAAAGACTGTGGTGTCCGTGGGGATCCCGGACATCCATCTGGCAGAAATGAGGTACCCCTCTGCTTTCCTGCTCGGGTGGTATCAGAGGAGGCCTAGTAGAGAGTCAGGATTTTCACCATCACCCAGAGGTAGTGTCACCTCCACCACAGTACCAGTGGAGACCACGTAGGGCTGGAACACACACCCCTATCCAGCAATAAAGAGGAGTTCTGTCCCACTGGAGTGTCAACAGAGGTGCCGTGGGAAATCTGAAGTTCTGCCTTCACCTGGCAGCAATGAAATGACATCCCCCTCATGCCAAAGTAGTGTCAGAGAAAGTTAGTGAAACGAAAGTTTTAAATTAAGATCCAAAGTCTTATAACATAATTCAAAAATGTCCAGATCTCATACTGAATGAAAAAAGACAATAGATGTCAACACTGAGATGGCCGCTATATTAGAACCTCTGACCAATATTTTAAAGCAGCTATGATAGAAATGCTTCAAGAAGCAATTAGGAACACACCTGAAAAAAGTGAAAAAATAAAAAACTTCAGCAAAGAAATAGAAGACATAAGGAAGAACCAAATAGAAATATTAAAACGATAAAATACAATAACCAAATAGGAAAGCTCAGTGTATAGGCTCAATGGAAGAATAGAGAACAAAGGGAAGAATCAGCAGACAGTAAGGTAAAACAATAGAAACTACTCCATCTGAACGACAGAGAAACTAAAGTGAGAAAATGAACAGTGCCCCAGGGACCTGAGAGACTATAACAAGAGATCTAACATTCTTGTCACTGGAGTCCCAGAAGAAGAAACAAAAGAAGGCAGGGCTGAAAAAGTACAGCAAGAAATAATGACTGAGAACTTCCCGAGTTTGTCAAGAGACATAAACATAGTGATTCAGGCCGGGCGCAGTGGCTCACGCCTGTAATCCCAGCACTTTGGGAGGCCGAGGCGGGTGGATCACGAGGTCAAGAGATCGAGACCATCCTGGTCAACATGGTGAAACCCCCGTCTCTACTAAAGATACAAAAAATTAGCTGGGCATGGTGGCGTGTGCCTGTAATCCCAGCTACTCAGGAGGCTGAGGCAGGAGAATTTCCTGAACCCAGGAGGTGGAGGTTGCGGTGAGCCGAGATCGCACCATTGCACTCCAGCCTGGGTAACAAGAGCGAAACTCAGTCTCAAAAACAAAAAAAACATAAAACATAGTGATTCAAAAAGATGAGGAAGGCCGGTGGTTCACACCGGTAATCCCAGCACTTTGGGAGGCCAAGGAAGGCAGATTACTTGAGCCCAGAAGTTCAAGACCAGCCCAGGAAACATGGTAAAGCCCCATCTCTAAACACACACACACACACAATTAACCAAGCATGGTGGCACACACCTGTGGTCCCAGCTGTGAGAGGGTCACTCAAGCCCAGGAGGTCAAGGCTGCAGTGAGCGGTAATCACACCACTGCACTCCAGCCTGGGCAACAGAGTGAGACTCTGTCTCAGAAAAAAGAAAAAAAAATGATGGGGAAACCTTAACCAAGATAAACCCAAATAATCTGTGCTAAGACACATTAAAATTAAACTTCTAAAATCAGACAAAGAAAAAAAACTCTTGAAAATGTCACCATAAGGGAACAAACAATTCAATGACAATGGATTTCTCATCAGAAATCATGGAGGCCAGAAGGAACTGCTGCAATATTTTTCAAGGGCTGAAGGAAAATAACAGTCAACTCAAAATTCTATACCCAGAAAGAAATAGAATTCTATGCACAGAAAGAAATATCCTCCAGGAATGAAGAGGAAAGTAAGACATTACCAAAAGTTTTCTTAGGAAAATGAAAAGAGTTTGTCAACGGTAGACCTACTCTAAAAGTGCCTAAATGACATTCTCTAAATGGAAAGGAAACAATGAAAAAAGAAATCTTGGAACATTAGGAAGAAAAAACACAGAAAAAATATGGGTAAAAGCAACAGACTTTTCTTCTATTGAATTTTCTAAACTATGTTTGACGGTTGAAGCAAATATGACATCATGTGATTTTATTCCAAAGGTATGTAGAGGGAATATTTTTAAAAATTATAAATTAGGCCGGGCGCGGTGGCTCAGGCCTGTAATCCCAGCACTTTGGGAGGCCGAGGCGGGTGGATCACGAGGTCAAGAGATCAAGACCATCCTGATCAACATGGTGAAACCCCGTCTCTACTAAAAATACAAAAAATTAGCTGGGCATGGTGGCGCGTGCCTGTAATCCCAGCTACTCAGGAGGCTGAGGCAGGAGAATTGCCTGAACCCAGGAGGCGGAGGTTGCGGTGAGCCGAGATAGCACCATTGCACTCCAGCCTCGGTAACAAGAGGGAAACTCTGTCTCAAAAAAAAAAAACCAAAAACTATAAATGAGAGAGGGAACAGGGACAAAGGGATGTCAGGTTTCCATACTTCACTCAGACTGGTAAAATAATGACAACAGCAGGCTATAGTAAGTTATATGTGCATATCTAGAGCAATCGATAAGAAAACTATACAAATATACTCAAAAACACTCTAGAAAGTGCTCACTTCAGCAGCGCATATATTAAAATTGGAATGATACAGAGATTAGCATGGCCCTTGTGCAAGGATGCCATGCCAATTTGTGAAGAGCTCTATATATTTTTTTAAATGCCATAGATAAATCAAAATAGAGTTCTAAGAAAATGTTCAAGTAATCTTCAGGAGGTAGGGAAAAGAAAACAAACAAAAATCAGAAAAAACGAACAACAAAAAATGGCAGACTTGAGCCCTAACATACCAATAACTACATAAAGATTAGTAGATGGGCCGGGCACAGTGACTCAAGCCTGTAATCTCAGTACTTTGGGAGGCCGAGACGGGTGGATCACGAGGTCAAGAGATCAAGACCATCCTGGTCAACATGGTGAAACCCCGTCTCTACTAAAAATACAAAAAATTAGCTGGGCATAGTGGTGTGTGCCTGTAATCCCAGCTACTCAGGAGGCTGAGGCAGGAGAATTGCCTGAACCCAGGAGGCGGAGGTTGCGGTGAGCCGAGACCGCACCATTGCACTCCAGCCTGGGTAACAAGAGCGAAACTCCGTCTCAAAAAAAAAAAAAAAAAGATTAGTAGAATGAATTTAAAAACATGACCCAAACCACGTACTGTCTACAGAAAACTTACTTTAAGTATAATGATATAGGCAGGCTAACAGTAAAAGGATGGAGAGAGTTGCATCATACAGACATAAACCAAATTAGCCAGACTTGTTGGCAGGCACCTGTAATCCAAGCTGCTCAGGAGGCTATGGCAGGAGAATCACTTGAACCTCGGAGGTAGAGGTTGCAGTGACCCGAGACTGTGCCACTGCACTCCAGCCTAGGTGACAGAGCAAGACTTTGTCTAAATAAATAAATAGATAAGTGGTGGCTCACACCTGTAATCCCAGCACTTTAGGAGGCCGAGGCAGGCAGATCACTTGAGGTTAGGATCCTGGTCAACATGGTGAAACCTCGTCTGTACTAAAAATACAAAAATTATCCAGACATGGTGGTGGGCGCCTGTAATCCCAGCTATTCAGGAGGATGAAGCCCAAGAATTGCTTGAACCAGGGAGGCAGAGGTTGCAGTGAGCCAAGATCATGCCTCTACACTCCAGCCTGGGTGATGGAGTGAGACTCTCAATAAAAGACAAACAAACATTAATCAAAGGAGAGCAAAAGTGGTTATACTAATATCAGGTAAAGTAGACTTCAGAGCAAAGGGAATCATCAGAGACAAAAAAGATCATCATATAATGATAAAAAGGGTCCGCTTGGTGGGGTGGCTCATGCCTGTAATAGGTGGGCAGATCATAAGTTCAGGAGATTGAGACCAGTGTGACCAACATGGTGAACCCCGTCTCTACTGAAAACACAAAAATTAGCCGGGCATGGTGGTGGGCGCCTGTAACCGCAGCTACTCAGGAGGCTGAGGCAGGAGAATCGCTTGAACCCAGGAGGCAGAAGTTGCAGTGAGCCAAGATTGTGCCACTGCACTCCAGCCTGAGTAACAAGAGTAAGCGAAACTCTGACTCAAAAAAAAAGAAAAAAGAAAGGAGGGCATTTTTCAAATACTTAGAAGCCAAACAACATGCTTTGGAAAAACCCATGGTTCAAAGATGCAGTTTCAAGGAAATTTTTAAAAAAAATACCTTGAACGCCCTGAATGCAAAGGCACAAGCCTGAAGTCTCAGCTTCTCAGGTGGCTGAGGCAAGAGGAGTGCATAAACCCAGGAATTCCACTGGATGATTTAAGAAAAAAAAAAGACTTTTGAAATACATTGAACTGAATAAAAACGAAGACACAACATACCAAAATTTATGTCACACAGCTAAAGCAGGGCTGAGGGAAAAGTATAGCATTAAATGTGTACATTAGGAAAACTGAAAGTCCAGCATCAGTAATCTAAATTCTCAACTCAAGAACTTAGAAAAAGGAGAGCAAACTAAACCGAAGCAAGCACGAGCCAGGAATAACGCCAGGCTGGAGTGCAGTGGCATGGTCGTGGCTCACTGCAACCTCAGGAATAACTCCAGGCTGGAGTGCAGTGGCATGGTCGTGGCTCACTGCAACCTCAGGAATAAAGGCTGGAGTGCAGTGGCATGATCGTGGCTCACTGCAACGTCAGGAATAAAGGCTGGAGTGCAGTGGCATGATCGTGGCTCACTGCAACCTCAGGAATAACTCCAGGCTGGAGTGCAGTGGCATGGTCGTGGCTCACTGCAACCTCAGGAATAACTCCAGGCTGGAGTGCAGTGGCATGGTCGTGGCTCACTGCAACCTCAGGAATAACTCCAGGCTGGAGTGCAGTGGCATGGTCGTGGCTCACTGCAACCTCAGGAATAACTCCAGGCTGGAGTGCAGTGGCATGGTCGTGGCTCACTGCAACCTCAGGAATAACTCCAGGCTGGAGTGCAGTGGCATGGTCGTGGCTCACTGCAACCTCAGGAATAACTCCAGGCTGGAGTGCAGTGGCATGGTCGTGGCTCACTGCAACCTCAGGAATAATGAAGAACAGAAATGAATGAGATTTGTTTTTTAAAAATCAATGAACAAAATCAATAAAACAACTGTTTCTTTGGAAAACAATATTAAAATTGACAGGCCACTAGCCAAACAGTTGAAAAACTAAAAGATACAAATTTCCAGTATGAGGAATGAAATGGCCTATCACTATAGACATCAAAAGGATAAGGCAATACCATAGCTCTATACACATAAATTGACAACTCAGATAAGATGAACCAAACTGAAAAATACAAACACCACAACGAACCCAATATAAAATATATAATGTAAATAGCTCCATAACTATTAAGGAAATTAAATTTCTAATTTAAAACCTCTCCCACTCCCTAGGAAAAGAAATCTCCAGAGTCAGATAGTTTCACTAAGAAAATTCTACCAAACGTCTAAAGAAGAATGAACACCAATTCTACATAATAGAAATAGAAGAGGAAAGGACACCTTCCACTTCATTTTATGAAGCCAATATTACCCTGAGGGGGAAAAAGACAAAATAGTATAAAATAAGCTAAATACAAACCAACATCTCTCATGAATATAGATGCAAAAAGCATTAACAAAGTATCAGGAAACAGATCTCAGTAATGTATAAAAAGCATTACACACCATACCTGTTTTCTTTTCTTTTCTTTTTTTTTTTTTTTGAGACGGAGTTTCACTCTTGTTACCCAGGCTGGAGTGCAATGGCGCGATCTCAGCTCACTGCAACCTCCACTTCCTGGGTTCAGGTAATTCTCCTGCCTCAGCCTCCTGAGTAGCTGGGATTACAGGCACGCGCCACCATGCCCAGCTATTTTTTTGTATTTTTAGTAGAGACGGGGTTTCACCACGTTGACCAGAATGGTCTCGATCTCTTGACTTCATGATCCACCTGCCTCAGCCTCCCAAAGTGCTGGGATTAGAGGCGTGAGCCACCGTGCCCGGCCCTCACCATACCTCTCTTATTCCAAAGATGCAAAGCTGGTTCAGTATTCAAAAATCAATCAGTGTCCATCATATTAAAACTCTAAAGAAGAAAATTAGAAGATCAAATCAAGTAATACAGAAGACTCATTTTACAAAATAACACCCATTCGTGATTTAAAGAAAAAACAACTCTCAGAAAAACAGAAATACAGAGAAACTTCCTCAACTTAACAAAGAGCACCTGTGAAAAGCTTACAGCGAACATTACATTCAATGGTAAAGTCCGAATGTTTTCATATTCAACAGTGCTGAGGTTGTACGAAGGTGCAAAATCAAATCTGGTGGAGAAGAGCTAGCCTTTCAACAAATGACACTGGAGCAACTGGACAGCCATGGGCAAAAAATGAAACTCAATCTAAGTCTGGTACCTTCTACAAAAATGAGCTCAAAATGGCTAAAGACTTAAATGTAAAACTGTAAAACTTATTTTTAAAATAGAACACCTTCAAATTCTAGGATTAGACAAAGAGTTCTTAGGCATGATACCACATGCACAATCCATGAAAGGAAAAATTAAGATTTTGGACCTCATCAAAATTAAAAACTTTTGCTCTTGGAAAGCCCATGTGAAGGAGGTGAAAAGACAGGGTAGTGGGAGCAAATATTTCCAAATCACATATCTAACAGAGGACCAGTATCATCAGTATATTAAAAACCCCTCAAACTCAATAGTTCCACGTCCAGCCTAGCATGCCCACTCTTTTGAGCCTTTTAAAGAAAGTGAGCGTCCTTAGGAATGTCTGATGGAACATAAGCATTTGGTGGGTTTTCTGACTTTACATAACCTATTAATTCGAGCATACCCACTCTTGTTTTTAAATAGTGATGGAGCCTTGTTATGTTGCCCCAGGCTGGGCTTGAACTCCTCCCACCTCAGCCTCCCAAAGTGCTGGGATTACAGGCATGAGCCACTGCGCCTGGCATAGCACGCCCACTCTTTTGAGCCATTTAATACTTCTTCCACTGTATGCCACAGCAGTCCTGACATGCCTACTTTACTTAATGTGGGCCACGGCTTTTTCCAAGCTTCCCAGAGCTATCCCGTTGTAACCAAAACACAGGTTCAGTTGCTCACTGCTTGCGGAGTCCAATTAACAAGAGCGAGATCTCGTACAAAGAAAGCAACTTTTTATTCCAAAGCCAACTTAAGAGAAGAAGGTATAGCCTCTGCTTTTAGAGTACCACTTCGCTTTTGGAGCAGAAAGCAAGTGCTTTTAAAAGGGGGCCATTCATGCTGACATGAATGGCATGCAGGGGAAGAAGCGGCAGATGGGGCGCCCGCATACTCACTTTGGTGTGTTGTCTACAGGGTGGTGGAGCTGGTGACTACTGGTGCCTTCATGGACAGGACTAGGTTGCCAAAGCAGCCAAAACCTCTCCAGGTGAGAGTCTCACAGCCGGCATACGTTGGCTTGTAGATGGACTTGTAGGCTGTCTCCTGAGGCAACCTCCCGCTTGGGTGACCGTTCAGCTCTGGGACTTCCAAACACATAGTTACATGAACTTGCCCTGTTGTGAGTGTCTGTGAAAGAGGAGGTAACGGGCTATAAATGCATTTCTAAAGAGCCGAGTCGGGGCCGGGCGCGGTGGCTCACGCCTGTAATCCCAGCACTTTGGGAGGCCGAGGCGGGTGGATCACGAGGTCAAGAGATCGAGACCATCCTGGTCAACAAACTGAAACCCCGTCTCTACTAAAAATACAAAAATTAGCTGGGCACGGTGGCGCGTGCCTGTAATCCCAGCTACTCAGGAGGCTGAGGCAGGAGAATTGCCTGAACCCAGGAGGCGGAGGTTGCGGTGAGCCGAGATCGCGCCATTGCACTCCAGCCTGGGTAACAAGAGCGAAACTCCGTCTCAAAAAAAAAAACTGAATAGGAAGTGGGGAGAAGAGAAAAAGAGAAAAAAATAAAGTAGCTCTTGGAACTTGGGGTACTCAGTTACACTATCAGAACGTTAGCAACACCTCTCAGGGTCTTTGCCGGAGTGTTGAATCCTCTATCTTAAGAATAGGCTTCCATATCCATATATTCTCCCTGATCAAACTCTATGTCCCACCCTCCTTGCTCCAACACCTCAGAATCCAGTCCCATACATCTCCAACCTGTACTGCTGGTGAGCTCCTCTTGAACCTCCAGGGCAGAGTGTATTTTTTCTCTTCGGGTAATCCTGGCTGAGGTCTAAAGGACTTAATCCTAGTTATTGGTTTGCAGATCAGGAGAGGAGGTGGGGCAGGTTTTGAAGGAAACCTGCGTGGTCTTGCAAGCCAGAGATTTCTCCATCATCCTTAAGCAAGGAAGTAGTGATGGCCTTTACCAGGACCAAGTGGGCACTTTTGCAGGCCCAAAAGATAGAGAATTCAAAGATTCAAAATTTTTAAAGCATTTACCCAGCTGCCCCCCACCCCACATGTCTCAGGGTCTCACTCCTTCTTGCCAGAGTTAGGAATTCAAACTTCGGCCGGGCTCGGTGGCTCATGCCTATAATCCCAGCACTTTGGGAGGCCGAGGCGGGTGGATCACAAGGTTAAGAGATCGAGACCATCCTGGTCAACAAGGTGAAACTCCGTCTCTACTAAAAATACAAAAATTAGCTAGGCATGGTGGCGCACCCCTGTAGTCCCAGCTACTTGGGAGGCTGAGGTAGGAGAATCGCTTGAACCCAGGAGGTGGAGGTTGCAGTGAGCCAAGATCGCGCCATTGCACTCCACCCTGGGTAACAAGAGCAAAATTCCATCTCAAAAAAAAAAAAAAAAAAAGAATCCAAACTTCTCCAGAGCCCTGCTACTCTTATAAGTAAATATTGGACGTTATTCTCAGTTTTGGGGGGGCCTCTAAATGCGAGATAAAAAATGCCTTTTATTTTTTATTATTATTTTTTGAGACAGAGTTTCGCTCATTACCTAGGCTGGAGTGCAATGGCACGATCTCAGCTCACCACAACCTCCGCCTCCTGGGTTCAAGCAATTCTCCCGCCTCAGCCTCCTGAGTAGCTGGGATTACAGGCACGCACCACCATGCCCAGTTAATTTTTTTTGTATTTTTAGTAGAGATGGGGTTTCACCATGTTGACCAGGATGGTCTTGATCTTTTGACCTCGTGATCCAACCGCCTCAGCCTCCCAAAGTGCTGGGATTACAGGCTTAAGCCACCACACCCAGCAAAAAATACCTTTTAAGTTGCTAAGAAGGGCCTTGGGCTTTCATTCTTAGCCTTTATTTGGTGATCAATCACCCTCAACCTTTCATTTTTGTTCAATGCATTGCCTCCAGCTAACCATCCAATTCCATTGTCTTTATAAAACCTGATATATTTATCAGACCTGATATATTTCCCCCCCTTCCCCCAGGATCCCATCCCAGTTCAACACTAGTGAAAGCTTTGACAGTTGCACTGATCCCCTGCAGGGGAATCTCCATGCTCTGCCTGCTGCCAGTGGTCCTCAGTGCCAGTGGACCAGCAGGTATTTCCAGTTTAGAATCTCATTTTAGAATCTGCTTCCTCAGCACCCTTGGCACTGACTGTCAGGCGGGATTCCTCAGGGATTCCTCGGGAAGCGTACTCTCAGATGGAGATTTGAGTAAAAGAAGTTCATTGAGTCATGCTCTCAGGATCAACAACATTGGGAGAAAGTGAAGGCCTTACACCGGGACAGCAGGGACTCAGGTGCTGTTGTGGCCCTGCAGAATTGTCTCCCACTGAGACGAGGAAATCAGACCTTCCTACTTCCACATTGACCAGTAGATGCAGGCTGTCTTAGGAGGGGGCATAATCTTGAATGAATTTTAAGTTGAGCGCAACTCCTGAAGGAAGCCTAGCTGGGAACTGTCAGTCACCCACAATTCTGAGAAGTGCTGGGGGAGGGCAAGGATGAGTGCTTCAGTCCTGATGGGGGTGGGCATCTGGGTGGCACAACAGCATCCACTATAGTACCTTTTTTTTTGATGAGTTTCACTCGTTGCCCAGGCTGGAGTGCCAGAGTGTGATCTCGGCTCACCACCGCCTCTTACAGCTTCTGCCTGGACATCCGGACTTTTCCATACACCCTCTGACATCTGGCACAGGCTTGAGAGCCTCCATTTTTGTACTCTGTGCACCCACAGGCTTAACATTATGTGAAAACCACCAAGGCCTAGGGTTTGCACGCTCTGAAGCAGTGGCCCAAGCAGTACCTTGGCCCCTTCGAGCCATGGCTGGAACTGGAATGGCCAGGATATGAGAAGCAGTGTCCTGAGGCTGCACAGCATAGCAAGGCCCTGGGCCTGGCACGTGAAACCATTTTCTCCATTGTCTTGGATATTAGCACTTGGTTCCTTTTTACTTATGCAATTTTATATGGCCTGCTTGGAATTTTTCCCCTGAAAATTGGCTTTTTGTTTTTTCTACCACATGGCTGGGCTGCAAATTTTTCAAAAAACTTTTATGCTCTGCTTCCCCTTTAAATGTAAGTTCCAGTTTTACATCATTTCTTTGCTCATGCATATGAGATAGGTTGTTAGAAACAGCCAGTTCACATCTTGAATGCTTTGCTGCTTAGAAATGTCCTCCACCAGATAGTCTAAATCATCACTCTCCAGTTAGAAGTTCCACAGATCCCTAGGGCAGACGTACAGTGCCACCAGGTTATTTGCTAACATAAAACAAAGGGCTGTGACCTTTGCTTCAGTTCCCAGTCAGTTTCTCATCTCCATCTGAGACTTCAGCAGCCTGGACTTCATTGTCCATATCACTATCAGCATTTTTGACCCAACAATTTAATGAGTCTCTAGGAAGTTCCAAACTTTCATCTTCCTGTCTTCTTCTGAGTCCACACCACATTCTTCCAACCTCTGCCAGTTACCCAATTCCAAAGCTGCTTCCACATCTTCAGGTACAGCAAGGCCCTACTCCTCAGCATCAATTTTGTATATTAGTCTGTTCTCACATTGCTATAAAGATATACCTGAGAGCAGGTAATTTATAAAGAAAAATTGGCTCATGGTTCCATAGGCTGTACAGGAAGCATGGCAGCATCTGCTTCTGGGGAGGCCTCAGGAAGCTTCTAATCATGGCAGAAGGCAAAGATGGAGTGAATATCTTACATAGCAGGAGCAGGACCAAGGCAGAGTGGGGAGGTGCTACACACTTTTAAAGAATCAGATCTCACAAGAACTCACTATCACGAAAACAGCACCAAGGGGATGGTGCTAAACCATTCATGGGAAACCACCCCGTGATCCAGTCACCTCCCACAGGCCCCACCTCCAACACCGGGAATTACAGTTTGACATGATATTTGAGCAGGGACACAGATCCAAAACATATTAACTATTGAATACATGTAATCAAGAATACAATTCATACATTTTACTTTTGAAACTGTACTGTAATTATCTATGTATCTATGCATCTGTCTTCACTCACTAGATCATGAGTTCCTTGAGGAGTGTGTTTTATTCCCAAAACTTTGCATCTTGAGTACATAATATGCCCTAATATTTGTTATGAGTGAGTGAGTGAATGAATAATCAATTTGCAAGGTTTCTCTTCAGACACTAAAGAAGCAAACATTGAATGGGCATGGTGGCTCACGCCTGTAATCCCAGCACTTTGGAAGGCCAAGGCAGGTGATCACTTGAGGTCAGGAGTTCGAGACCAGCCTGGCCAACATGGTGAAACCCCGTCTCTACTAAAAATACAAAAATTAGCTGGGCATGGCCTGTAATTTCAGCTACTCAGGAGGCTAAGGCATGAGAATCACCTGAACCCAGGAGCCAGAGCTTGCAGTGGGCCAAGACATCGCCACCGCAGTCCAGCCCGAGGACTTCTGTCTCAAAAAAAAAAATAAAAGTAAACATCTAAGGTGCTCATTGAAGCAGCACTGCCCAAGGCTAAAGCCCTGGTCTTTGTAACTTCTGAAGAACTTTCTATTACAGGAATCTGTGTGTTTGTTACTATTTTCCCACTCCCAGCCCAGCCTTGTTTCCTTTTCTCTCCCTCCTGCTGACACTCCACTCAGACCTTGAGCAGGCATTCTCCGAACAGTGTGTCAACTCTGCAGCCGTGCACAGGAGAGGGCAGCAGAGGCCAGTCCAGTTACACTGAGCGTGGCCTGCTTTCCAGACACTGTCCTTCCTTCCCACCCTGTGGGCAAAGCAAGGCAACCACACTGGAGCAATCCTTACTGCAAGCCTACGGAGAGCTACTGCATCAGTTCTGAAGATGAGGAACCTGACACAGTGGGGTTGCTGAAGGTCCCTAGGTGGCAAAGCATGCCTGCCTGTAGCCCCTTTATTAACTCGTGTCTGCTCTCTAGATATCAGATCCAATCTGAGCAGCAATTCCAAGACACTCCTAACTTTAGCTTAAAAATATATCACAGGGCCGGGCACAGTGGCTCACCCTACAATCCCAGCACTTTTGGAGGCCGAGGCGGGTGGATCACAAGGTCAAGAGATCGAGACCATCCTGGTCAACAAGGTGAAACCCCGTCTCTACTAAAAATACAAAAAAAATTAGCTGGGCATGGTGGTGCGTGCCTGTAGTCCCAGCTACTCGGGAGGCTGAGGCAGAAGAATTGCCTGAACCCAGGAGGCGGAGGTTGCGGTGAGCCGAGATCGTGCCATTGCACTCCAGTCTGGGTAACAACAGTGAAACTCTGTCTCAAAAATTTAAAAAAATGTATCACAAGAGATGAAAGCATCCAATTACTGGATACTCAAGCATCTCCCGTTACAGGAGCCCACCCTTGACCCTGCTTCCCCTTCTGGCAACGGCTGCCCTTTCTCCATTTCCTCTCCCGGCCAGGTTCCTAGAAAACTGTCTTTAAGGGTAGCGTGTCCACTTCCACATCTTCATCTCACAACTGCCACCAAGTCCACTAAAGCTATTCATGTTCACATCACCATGACCCAATTGCAAACTCAGTGGAAACCTTCTGGCCTAAATTCATCTCCCCATTTCCCCCGCCCCTACCTGCTTCCCCTCTGCATTAGTGAATGATTCCAGCATTCCTCTCCTTTCTCGTGCAAGACACCTGGAAGTCATTCTAGAATCTACAACCTCTATAATAACTCTACCCCATTCAAATGACAAGCCCTGCCAACTCCCCTTCCGAAATATGTTGAGAATTCACCTCCTGTTTTCATGCCACTGCATAGGTCAAGGCCTCGTCCTGTTCAGTCTCCCGCCTGCCCATCAGTTTATCAGTCAGCAAATGCGAACTGAGCAGCTGCACGATCGTGGGTGCTGGTCACAGAGTGATGAACAGGGCTGACAAGGCCTCACTGGAGGACACATTCTTGGGGCCACAGACAGTAACAATAAAATAAGACAGTATCCGACAGTGATAGGGGATATGAAGAAAAAAACAAAGTGATGTGAGAAGAATGACTAGGGGAAAATATATAAATATATAAATATTTTATTTATGTATAATTTTGAGACAAGTCTTGCTCTGTTGCCAGGCTGGAGTGCAGTGGCACGATCTCAGCTCACTGCAACCTCCGCCTCCCAGGTTCAAGCGATTCTCCTGCCTCAGCCTCCCAAGTAGCTGGGATTACAGGCATGTGCTGCCACACTCGTCTAAGTTTTATATTTTTAGTAGAGACAGGGTTTCACCATCTTGGCCAGGATGGTCTGGATCTCCTGACCTCATGATCCGCCCACGTCGGCCTCCCAAAGTGCTGGGAAAACAGGCATGAGTCATCACGTCAAGGGGGAAATGTTTTTTAGTTAAATATTGAAAAATATCTGGGCAAGGCTACTTTAGGTGACTCACTAGGAAAGGACTCTCGGTGGCAGTGACAAGAAGCTATCTAGGGCGCTGTAGGCTGCCGAAATACTCCATTTCCCAGCCTCCCTTCAGGAGGGGGCACGCCCACGGCTCTGGCCAGTGAGTCGGCTGCAGCTGAGGAGACGCTCTCACTTCCCTGAAAAGAAAGACAGGGTCACTGGCACGGTCGCTTCCTGGTCCTCCTGTGACCAAGAGAGAAGGAAAGGAAACTAGAGACAGGCGGGCCCTGAACCAAGGCCAGCAGCCGCCACCCCTCGACGCGCTATGGGAGAGAAGCAAGCCCTGTTTGTCTAAGCCACTCACGGTGGAGTTTTCTCTTCCTTTCAGCACGAGGCATTCCAACTTGAATCACGAGCCCTGTGAACACCTGGGGCAGGCAGAGAACTCAGACGGCGTTAGAAGTCCCTAAAATGGGAAGTACCTTGACACGTTTGAGGAACAGGAAAAAGATCAGTGTGGCTGGAACACAGTGAAGTGAGAGGGAAAGAGCAGACAGTCCCAGAGGTGGATGGGGTCTGGCAACGCTGAGTAGACCCTGGAGTGCCATCTGGATTTTAACCTCATGGGAAACCTCTCATGGGTTTTAGGCAGGAGAGCGCATACTCTGATTTCAGTTCCTTGAAAGATCTTTTTGGCCAGGCATGGACGCTGATGCTGTAATCCCAACACTTTGAGAGACTGAGGCAAGAGGATCATTTGAGCACAGGAGTTTGAGACCAGCCCGGGCAACACAGCAACCTGAACAACCCATCTCCACACAAAAAAAAATTTTTTTGAGACAGAGTCTCGCTCTGTCACCCAGGCTGGAGTGGAGCACAATCCTGGCTCACTGAAACCTCTGCCTCCCAAGATCGAGAGATTCTCCTGCTCAGTCTCTTGAGTAGCTGGGATTACAAGCGTGTGCCACCACACCCAGCTAAATTTTTTTTGTATTTTTAGTAGAGACAAGGTTTTACCATGTTGGACAGGCTGGTCTTGAACTCCTGACCTCAAGTGATCCACTGCCTTGGCCTCCCAAAGTGTGGGGATTATGGGTGCAAGCCACAGCACCTGGCCTACAAAAAATGTTTTTTTAATTAGCTGACTGTGGTGGCATACACCTGTAGTCCTAGTACTTGGGAGGCTGAGGTAAGAGGACTGTTTGAGCCAAAAGTTTGAAGTTACAGTGAGCTACACTGCACTCCAGCCTGAGTGACACAACAAGACTGTCTTTAAAATAAATAAATAAAATTAAATTTAAAAAAAGAATTATCCTAACTGTTACATGGAGGATGGTTAAGGGAGTGCAGGTGGGGCAGATGCTGATTTGGGGCTGACCCAGCAGTTTCCCTCCCGTTGCTTGGGTCTCTGTTGATCTTGGGATAGGCTGCATGACCCTGGTCTGGCCAGTGAAGCAGAGGTGAGAGACCCTCAGAGAAAGTTTTCTTTGCTGATACAAAGGGACACCGTCAGCTGGTGCAGCTCTCTGCCCTTCTCCCTGCTTGAAATGTAGAGGGCAGGCCGGGCGCAGTGGCTCATGCCTATAATCCCAGCACTTTGGGAGGCCGAGGTGGGTGGATCACAAGGTAAAGAGATTGAGACCATCCTCGTCAACAAGGTGAAACCCCGTCTCTTCTAAAAATACAAAAATTAGCTGGGCATAGTGGTGCACGCCTGTAGTCCCCGCTACTCGGGAGGCTGAGGCAGGAGAATTGCTTGAACCCAGAAGGCGGAGGTTGCAGTGAGCCGAGATCGTGCCATTGCACTCCAGTCTGTGTAACAACAGCGAAACTCCGTCTCAAAAAATAAAAATAAAAAATAAAAGAAATGTAGAGGACAGCTGAGAGTGCAGGAGCCCCCTTGCACGGATGATGGAACAGGCAGAGTGAGGATGGGAAAATCCTGGTCTGGGTACTTGTCAACATAATTGAACCTCTGACTCTGGCCTATTGCTGAACTTATTAGGTAAGAAAAATGACCTCATATTTGTTTAAGTCAGTATACATTTGCTTCTGGGCCAGGCACAGTGGCTAACGCCTGTAATCCCAGGATTACACGAGGCCAAGAGTTTGAGATCAGCCTAACCTACATGGTGAAACTCCATCACTACTGAAAATACAAAAGTCAGTCAGGCATGGTGGCACGCACCTGTAATCTCACCAGCTTGGGAGGCTGAGGCAGGAGAATCACTTGAACCTGGAAGGCCGAGGTTGCAGTGAGCCAAGATCACGCCACTGTACTTCAGCCTGGATGACAGAGTGACACTCTGTCTCAAAAAAATACCAAAAAACAAAAACAATGGCTGCACAGTTCGACATCACATTCAGGTCCAAATCAGAAAGAGGAAGCCTACCCCAACCCAGTCTGTTGCCCCCAACTGTTTTTTTGTTATGAAAAGCAAAGGCTTTTGTAGAACCTCCAGCACACTTTTACCTCTAGCTCATGAACAAATGGCTGCCCCGAGCTGCAAGGAAGCCTGGGAAATCAGGGAAAGCCATTGGTATAGTTGGCCCAGATCAAATTCCATCCACTACCTGGGGCTGAACCCACTGCTGCCTGCAGCAAACTGGAATTCTGTTGGCAAAGAAGAAAAGGATGAGGTTAAGCAGGTGACAAAGAGGACCTGCCACCACCATCCTGCTCAGCAGAGTGGAAGCACCAAGGTGCTCCGACTACCCTCTTCCCAGGTCTGCCTGGCAAACCCTTTCTAATCCATCACATGCCAGTTCTCACGGGACCGCCCTCACTCTCCCAGGCAAACCTGGTACTTTGTCTTCTATCTCCCCCTATATTATGTACATATCTCGATCAGAGGTATGTAATGTGACTGCTCATTCAGTTACGCAGACACGCATTCTCACTGCAAATGCTTGCTGAGTGCCTGCTATTTGCCAAGGACTGCTAGGAGTCAGGAATTCAGTAGTAAACAAGTTAAGACTTGCAGGTTTGGTCCCTGCCCTCCTGGAGCTTTCAATCTAATAGGTGAGATATCCAGACAGGTAAAGTTATGGGAAAAAAGAAGCCCATCTCCTCAGACTATGTCTTGCCCCAAGACATAGCACAGCATCTCACACAAAGCAGATACCTATGAACATGTGTTAAATTCATTCCTAGGAAGGCATTGAAATGTACCTTAAGTATAAATATTTTAAAAGAAATGTATTTCTTATTTCTACCAGGAGAGCCCCCAAGAATGAACCATCATACTCTCCCAGTATTAAATCATGGGCTACAGCATCTTGGAAAACGCTTTGCTGTCTCCTCACATTGTTTCAGGTTTCTTTCCCCCGGAAAAGTTCTCGCGGTGTCTAATAATAACACAGCACTTCACATCAGAGGTGCTTAGTAGATGTGTGTTTCTTGCTGAGGGGTTCTTTTGGATTTTCTTTTTTTTTTTTGAGACGGAGTTTCGCTCTTGTTACCCAGGCTGGAGTGCAGTGGCACGATCTCGGCTCACCACAACCTCCACCTCCTGGGTTCATGCAATTCTCCTGCCTCAGCCTCCTGAGTAGCTGGGACTACAGGTGTGCACCACCATGCCCAGCTAATTTTTGTATTTTTAGAAGAGACGGGGTTTCACCTTGTTGACCAGGATGGTCTTGATCTCTTGACCTTGTGATCCACCCACCTCGGCCTCCCAAAGTGCTGGGATTATAGGCGTGAGCCACCACACCCGGCTGGATTTTCTAAAGAAAGATCATCTTATTGTCAGTGCCACAGCTCCCAAAGTGTGATTCTGAAGGCATTTAAAATGACTCCTCAGGTTCCTGTTCCATAGCTTATTATGTGTAGCTTTAATAGTTCTTTAAACACCCTGTTTTGTTGCCCTTTCTACTACTGCAGGGGATGGCAGCTGGGAACAAGGCAGAGACGAGGGAAATACAAATAATACAACCCCTGCTTTGGTCTGGGCTTCTGTTGCTATGGTGATGTTGACAACTAAGGCACAGGTGAGAGACTCTTTCCACAGTGGAGCCGGCAGATCATGCAAACCAGAGGGCTAGGACAGAACCACGAAAGACCCCACGCCTCCTAGGCCTGAAAAGGACTTCCTGAGGCCATCCGCCCACTCCCATATCTCTTACCTGAAATCAAAGGGATGGGCAGCAAGTTCCCAAAAATACTTGAGAACAAAGCCCACAACTCCCAAATCCCCTGCTGGGCACATATTTCACAACACTCATGACCCTGAATGGGTTTTCTGTGGCTAATCTCACATTCTCTTGAAGTCCTTCCAGCCCAATTCCTCTTACAATGGAAATCAAAGTTAATCATCACCTTACACTCTGTACGGTAACCCAGGAAGTAAGATAAACAAGAAAACAAAACCACAGCTGAAGCGTGGACTCGCTTCTTTCTGTGTTCTTCTCAGGGGGTGGGCGCGACAGCCCCCTGACCCAGCAAGAGGCCCCTGGCCACCCTGAAAGCGGAAACAGGCCTGCTGCCTCACGCGTCAAAGTGGGGCAGAGCAGCCCTCCCATGAAGGATGGCTTCCTTCTCCTGAGTGAAATAAAGCAGAGAGAGCAGAAAGGTCTGTGTTTAATGAATATCTTTAAAAGCTTTTGCGACAGCAGACAGAACCCAAGGCAGCTTGGAAACCCACAATGACAGCAGTAGGGCTCTCATGCCTCCAGGTGACCCTGCAAAACAGAAATGGTTCCACTAAATTAGGAGTGTGGCCTTTTCCCACCTCATTTTCTTTTGTAATCTCAGCTTTCAAAATCATTTTGCAATCATTCTGCCCGAAAAACGTGTGGTGGCCGTAACGGCACAGCCTGGCTCAAAGGTGAGGCGGGAGTGGGAAAGTGCCCAGCCCAAGGCGCAAGGAGAGAAACTGCTCCCACCCCTTGTCGAAGCAATAGAACCCTCTCCCCTCTCACACCAAGGTCACACGGCCACCGGCAGGAACGTCATCTTGATGCTAACGGCCCCCTCCCCATTTCCCTGTGGCCATCTTTACCCCTGAACTACTGTACTCCCACTTCCGCTCTCTTAATCCATTCCACTACATTAAGAAGCTTCCTGCTACTGACAAGCTAGATCAACCCTGGGCCTGTCTTCACAGTCCCTAATTCCCCAAAACAGTATCAAGAAAACTCAACATTTGCATTAAACTTCTCTTTAAATTCTCCACTTGATTTATTTCACACCCTGGACCAATAAACCAGAGCTTATTTTCACAAGAGTAAAGAAGCCTCTGTAAGTGAGGTTAACACCCACCCCGAGGCTGGATTCTGTCTGGTCTCTCCCAACAGCTGAGCATCATGGTTTTGCTAATTAAGCCACACTCTTGTCTTTAATTAGCTGCATGTGAATCTTGTTGGGAAGTCTTGGATCCGTGAAGTAGTCTGGGATGAAAATCAAAAAGACATCATCTATATCCAAAGGCAAAAGACTTACCCTGAGAAGAAGATAGCGCACTCCACCAAAAAGTTAGCCTGGCTTGGTACTAGCAGGATTGCTAAGGTGGCCCTGCTTTACGGTGTAATATGGTAAAATGAGCGGTCACTGCCCCCACCCGAGCAGTTCTGAGTCTGCCAGCTCCCACGTTCCCAGGAAGGGTTCGCAGAGGCTGGCTGCCGCCCCTCCAGGCTGTGCCTGCCCCCACCCCCCGACCCCCACTTGTCCCGTGCTGCACCGTTCTCTCCTCCGCCTGCTGACGCACAGAGAGCCATCAGAGGGCTCAGGGACTCTCTGGGTTTTCTGCTCCAGGCCCATCTTGGGGCCCAAATAAATGCCAAGTATTATTCTTGTCTCAGCTCAGCTTGCCAGCTCCTGTCTCTGAGCTATCACGCCTTCTCTGAGAATACCCTCTCAGAGGAGAGCCAGGCTCTCGCAGGATGACGCCAGATGAGGGTTTTTATACACCCAGCATACTGTGAATCAGAGGCAGCATCTGCTGTGCTAGCAAAGTCGTATTGAGGTTCTGTTAGCAATGGTTTGAGGTCTGGGATGTAACCAATTCTCAGGACTAACAGGACTGAAGAAATTATCCAACCCATCCCTTTCCCTCTAAATACCATTGACCTTAAGGCATCTAGGCAGCCAGTCCATTAGAATCACCGGGGGAGTCTTTAAAGCTACGGATGCTAGGCCCCACCCCAGACTAATTAAATAAAACTCTCTGGGGGTTGGGCCTGAGCATCAGTATTTCTAAAAGCTCCCCAGGTGATTCTAATGCACAGCTAGGGTTGAGAACCCAGCTTTAAGATTCCCAAGGGAAAAGCTGCTAATACGTTCCTTTGGGAATCTCAAAATTCTTAACAATCCTCACTATGAGGAAGTTCTGCCTCATTTCTTACCTGTCCTCATTTTGAGGAAATGATGATGGAGGAAAGAAAAAGCGGAAAAAAAGCTCCCCTGGGGGACATCAGGTGAAGGAGTACCTCAGACTCTGCAGGGAGAATCCTGGGCTTATTCGAGGGTAAACTCAGTCATGCTCCCTGCGCTGGCTTTGCCTGATACCCAAAACTGAGGCTGCCTTACTCACCTGCAGCAAACTGTAGGATGTTGTCTGGTCTTTTCAAAAAGATTTCTCTGGAAAACATGAAGGGATAGGATGGGAGGTAAGGCAGACTTTAAGGCAGGCTGTGACTACTGCTTCAGGTCCTGTGCTTTCACATAGACGAACCCGAGACACAACCATCTTGGGAGTCAATAAACCCACAGGTTTCTGACAAAAGACCCTTTAATTGGTGATTTTCCTTCAACTCCATATCTAAGGCAAGGAGCAAAGCATCCTGAATGGCAATACCCTAGGATATTGCTTACATCACAGAACAGTTGTGCTGCAGCCAAGTGGGGCTTGCCATTCCTTCAACAACCTTTTCAGTATTTATTTATTTATTTGAGACAGGGTCTCATGCTGTCACCCACCCTGGGGTACAGTGGTGGGATCAACCTCCCTGGCTCAAGAGATTCTCCCATCTCCAGCCTCTTGAGTAGCTGGGACTACAGGCATGTGCCACTGCGCTGGCTGATTTTTTTGTAGCAACAGGGGCTTACTATGTGGCCCAGGTGGCTTCTTTTTTTTTTTTTTATTTTTCTGAGACAGAGTTTTTGCTGTTACCCAGACTGGAGTGCAGTGACGCGATCTCGGCTCACCGCAACTCCGCCTCCTGGGTTCAGGCAATTCTCCTGCCTCAGCCTCCTGAGTAGTTGGGACTGCAGGCGCGCACCACCATGCCCAGCTAATTTTTTGTATTTTTAGTAGAGACGGGGTTTCGCCATGTTGACCTGGATGGTCTCGATCTCTTGACCTCATGATCCACCTGCCTCGGCCTCCCAAAGTGCTGGGATTATAGGCGTGAGCCACCGCGCCCGGCCTGACCCAGGTGGTTTCTAACTCCCAGGCTCAAGCAATCCTCCTGCCTCAGCCTCCCAAAGTGCTGTGTTTACAGGATTGGGCCAGGGCCTGGCCTCAACAACCATTTTCACTGAACCAGATCTCTAGCCAGGCAAGAAGCAAAGATGAAGAACATGCTGTCCGGTCCTCAAGGGGCCCACGAGTGGTGGGAGATACGCAGCCTCACGATGTCCTGAGTAAGCTTAGCCATGGATGAAGGGCAGAGGGAGATACAATAAACGGAGCTAAAAGATGGACCTCAGATGGCTGTTGGCCCCTCAGTCCATCGAGGAGACACCTGCAGGGCCAATGGCACTGGAGAATTGAAAATGTCTTATATCACCGGGCGCGGTGGCTCATGCCTGTAATCCTAGCACTTTGGGAGGCTGAGGTGGGTGGATCACCTGAGGTCAGGAGTTCAAGACCAGCCTGGCCATCATGGTGAAACCCCATCTTTAAAAAAAAAAAAAATCTTATATCGCACAGTTTTATGGTTCACAAATATTGCCTCACTTTACAACAACCCTGTGAAACAGCAATTACTGTGCCCCATTTTACATCCAAAGAAATCAAGCCTTCAAAAGATTAATGATTTGCCCAAGTTCATAAACGTAGTAAATAAAACAAAAAGGCCCCAGGTTGTGAGACTCCAAGGTCAGTGCTCTCTGCAATACGTTCTCTTGGCCAAGGCCTCCCCACTCCCCAGGAACCCCGCCCTCCTAAGCTTCAAGAATTTTGCCCGCCTTCTCCTTCAATTCATTTTGATAATTGTTGAGCACACATTATGCGTACGTAATTGCACTAGATATGAGGGATTGCTTTTTTCAAAATAAAATATAGCCCTACTTCAAAGAACTTACAGGCAAGTAAAAAGGAACAGGTTAGTTTCCAAATGTCCAAGAGGCCAAGGAACCTCTGGCAAGTGCTAAGGAGGGGTATGAAATAGTGCTCTGGGAGGTCAGAGTGGGGAGAGAGGTTACGGAGAGGGAAACCCCAACAGTCTTCACAGAGCAGTTGGCATTTGAGAGGACCCTTGAGGTACACATGGGATTTCAGTAGGTGGGATGAGGGTTAAGGGACAAGAACATTCCAGATCCAGGGAAAGAGCAAGAGCAAAGGCCCAGAAAGAGAAACCGTTTGTATGCTGTAGACTGTGAGCTCCTTGAAGGTAGGAAGTGGGTTGTAGACACCTTTCCATCTCAAGCCCAAAGAGCACTTAAGAGGTATCTGTGCCTGAGCTCCATGGGGTCAGCGGAATGATCAGAAATGTGGTCTGGCTGGAGTAAGGGATGCAGGCAGGGAGCAGTGGGAAACAGAAGAGGTTCTGTTATGGAGGGCCTTGAATGCCGGGGAGAGACATTTATACTCAATTCAAAAGACAATGGAAATAGACAAAATGTGGTATAAGACATGATGGAATATTACACAGCAGCGAGAATGGAGGATCGACAAGATGCTAGTGAGCGAAAGGAACGAGGCACAAAAGAGCACATGTTGTAGAATTCCATTCACATAAAATACACAAGCACACAATAAATCCGTGCTGGCAGAGGTCAGGATACTGGCTACTGTTTTAAGGGGAGTGACTGGGAGGGGTACAAAGGGTGTGAGGTGCTGGTAAGGTTCTGTTTTGTCATCTGAAAACAATAGAACCATGTGTATTTTCAGCCTGTGAAAGTTTGTCCAGCTTAGGATATGTCATGTTTCAGTATATTTCAATAGAATGTTTAAAAACGAACCCAAAAAGGCAGTGTTATGGAACTACTGAAGATTTTTCCAGCCAAGCAAGGACATGATCACTGTTGTATTTGGGGAAAATTCATCTGCTTAGGTATTTACAAAAACAGATGTCTAATAAAGACCATACACAATTTCTTACCTGGTTATTATATCTGCTGCACAAAACCTGAGCTTTCCAGGTGCCTTAAAATAAATCAGATTCCTACTCTTTCCATTTTTCAGATCCAAAACTTAAGGAGTTAAGAGTTTGGTACGGGCCGGGCGCCATGGCTCACGCCTGTAATCTCAGCACTTTCGGAGGCCAAGGCGGGCGGATCACGAGGTCAAGAGATCAAGACTTCATCCTGGCCAGCATGGTGAAATCCCGTCTCTACTAAAAAAATACAAACATTAGCTGGGTTTTGTGGCGTGCACCTGTAGTCCCAGCTACTCAGGAGGCTGAGGCAGGAGAATTGCTTGAACCCGGGAGGCAGAGGTTGCAGTGAGCCAAGATTGCACCACTGCACTCCAGCCTGGAGCCTGATGACAGAGCAAGACTCTATCTCAAAAAAAAAAAAGAGTTTGGTACACTGCATTTGCCAGTATAGGCTGGAGAAGTGTGGCTGAATGGCCATAAGTCATTAGGATCCAAAAAACCCAAGTGAGGAGTTTGCTTCCCACAAAGAACGCTTCAGAGCTTCTCTTGGCTTGGGATGAATCAAGAGCGGAGAACTGCAGAACAGACAAGGTCAGGCACCGTGCTCAGGACCCTGCTCTCGCCTCTTCCTTCCTCTTTTCTCACCGGAAGGACCGTGTGAAGTGGCCAGCATGGACAGAGGCTGACTCTGGTTCATCCTGGTACCAATCAAAGAAGACAACGACACCAGACAAACAAAAGTAAACCCTAAAACTTCAAGCACTAGACGCTTAAGCTCCACCCAGGAAAAGGGATCAGGAGGATTTCAAGTAGAGAAGCCTTAGGGAGAGCAAAAAGAAAAGCCTGGTGGTGTAGCTGGCCTTGACAGGAGCATGGTAAGAAAGGAAAGGGAGTATCTGGGTGTCCCCACAGCAGCCAATCCCGGACACCCGGGCTGTTCCTGGACAAAGAGAGAGGCAAGGCCATCCCTGACAGGGACTGAAACACTCCTTCATTCACCTCCCCTAGGTGTTCTAATCCTGTTGTTTGTGAGCAATTCAAATGTTGATTGAGTTCCAGCTTTCACCTTCTATCCCCAATCTCTCCGCTGGAACTGCTTTTAACCTGGAGTGCAAGGTCCCCAGGATAGAAACGATATCATCTTATTTCCCTTTAGAAGAAAAGATGCAAAAGGTGCTGGCCTGATCCTCAGGTCTGATATTGACAGACGATTCCTAAACTATCTTTTGCCCAAGCCACATCCCTGGCCAACCTTCAGAACCGGAAAGGTTTCAGTTTTCTGTCTCCTTCCTCTATCTGCCCTCTGAGAATCTGCTGCCACTTGGAGAAATGTCTATAATACGAATAGTGAGTTTTTAAAATTTTTATTTTATGAGACAGAATCTTGCTCTGTCACCCAGGCTGGAGTGCATGATACAATCTTGGCTCATTGCAACCTCCGACTCCTAGGTTCAAGTGATTCTCCTGCCTCAGCCTCCCGGCCACCATGCCCGGCTAATTTTTGCATTTTTAGTAGAGATGGGGTTTCCCCATGTTGGCCAGGCAGGTCTCAAATTCCTGGCCTCAAATGAACCACCCTCTTCGGCCTCCAGAAGTGCTGGGATTACAGTCATGAGCCAACGTGACTGCCAGGCCAACTTTTGAGAAGATACAGGCGGGCCCTGCATCTGGCTAAGCCCACAGTCCGGGGGAAAATGGGGACGGAGTGCTTACAGCACAATACGATGGAAAAACCCGGGGTGTGAATCCTGGTTCAGCAACTTTGGGAAAGTACTTCACCTTCCTGAGCTTAAATTTACTCACTTGTAAAATGAAAATGACAATAAGCTATCTTTTGTGGAGGTGCTGGGAGAATCAGCAAAAGTGTTCCAAGATGCCACACACGCGTGGGCACCGGGAACACAAACATGATTCCGCCAGCTCGGAGCTTTGGACCAGTAACGGAAGATGGAAGCGCAATTACAATAGAGCCTGGTAAGTGCTGATGCAGGGAAGCAGAACGGTGCCCGAAGATGGGCGCCATTAGTTATTTAAATCTTGTCTATTTGTCCATAGCCAAACAGCCTTTGAGATAGCGCTATTGTTTTCATCCACCGATACTCTGTGATTTTCTTTTAATTCTCTGCCTTTCATCCCATTCCGTTATGTTTCCATTAAAGCAAATGCCAGGTTGAAAGGAGGGATGGAGGAAGGAAAGCACATATTCCAGGACACACTGGCAAACTGTCTTCTCTTCCCCAAGAAAAGAGTGGCTTCCAACCCTTGGAATTTTCCTAAACTAATGTTTTCAGGTAGGGAAGGGCCGACCAGACAACTGATTTTTAAATTCAACGAGTGATTTTGTTAAGCTCCTATGGTTGAGAACAGTGTTCTACACCCAGTGGCTGCCTGTTGGGTTTCTCAGTGCCAAATTCCCTCTTCCAGGTGTCATAAGGTATGTATATTTTAAAGAATTTAGGGATAACTGAAGGAAACCTCTAGAGATAACTAAGAAATAGAGTGGCACCCTGGGTGCTACAAATCCCAGAGCCTGGAAAACCACCTACCTGAAGAAACCACTTATGAGCCACTCTACTTCTTTGTGGGTCCTTAGATACTTCTCATTAGCAATCCGAATCTGGATCTGGGAGGGCAAGAGCAAAGGGTCACCTCCATGAGAGGACAGATTCAGGGTTCAGCCCTGGAGAGGGGACAGGGCTGCAGGAAACAGCGTGCGCATTTAACCCAGGTCTTTCCCCAGGATGCTTGAAAAGTTTAAGCCACCCATCTTCTTACAGATAAAACATTCTGCCACCAGATGTTCAGGCTGAGGGGTCTTAACTATGGTCGGATGTGTCTGGCGGTAATTTCGGCCCATTTCAAAGGCCAAGTCCCTGAGGTAGTTCTTCCTGCACTCTAGATGCCCGTTGGGCTCTGCGTTGGGCCCAGAAGCCCAGAGGTCCGCCCGGGGTCTCCCGTGTGTCCTCCCCACTTTGTAACAGGCTCCCGCTCCCCTTCTCTCGGCGGCCCTCTTCTCAGTCTGGGGCCCCCGTCCTGGGGGAGCTGCACTTTGGTGGACCCACCTTGAATTTTCTCAACTGCTCCAGCTTAGCGGGGCTAAGCACCGAGGGGTCGGGCAGCGGCTGCGCGTCCGGAGGCGTCGCCATCTTGTTGCGGTCGTCAAGGCGACGGGCCGCGGGCTGGCGAGGCCCCGCCCCAGGCCCCGCCCTTCCCCAAGCCCGGCCCCTTCAGCGAAGCGCGGGTGAGGGGCTCAGGGAGATGGGGGAAAGGGAGGGTCTCTAAAGGATCGCCTTTCCCGGATTGGAGGACTGATTTATATGACTTAATTGTATGTGGAATGAGCCCTTCTTGACCCTACCCAACCTTAGATTTTTTTCTTAGCTCTATAGTAAAACAGGAAAAAAGGTCTCCCAGAATCTAGTTCCAGACACTCTCACCTGGACAGAAGCTAGAGGAAGCCTAGTACTGGGGAAAGAGAACCCAGGCTTCTTCCCTTTCCACTGGCCCAGAAGCCAACCCGTCCCTCTGTCCTGCACACATTCGACATTGGAGCCGTGGATTCTTCAAACAACGTGGAAGCACCCCAGAACAGAGAGTGAGCTGAGTTCTGCAAAGGAAGGAACGTTCTCTCCCGCTAAAGATGCTGGAAAGGACCTGGGGGACATTCTGCCAGAATTTCCCCTCTTGGACTGACTTTCTTGTGTAGATTAACTTTCTCTTCACCCTGGGCTCCTTGCAAATTCTAAATTATTTTCTTCCACTCCCAACTGAATACAGGAGGAGAAAGGGAATTTGATCTTCAAGATTTGTTCTTCTAGTATCTAATTAAGAAGAGAAAGTGAAACATAAAGTCAGAGAGCTGAAAATAGCCACGGGAAAGGGCATGAGTCTGTCTGTCAATACACACATGCCGAGCTTCTACCCCCGCAGAGATCGTGCTCAGCAGAGGCCTTCCGAGGTGCAGGAGAAAAGAGGGAGGCTGTTTTTTCAGATTTGTGAACAACTTCCTCAAGGAGCAAGAAAATAGCACGAGAAACAAGCTCAGCATTCCGCCCCGGCCGTGGTGGGGCTATCGTTGGTCTGCCTCTGTCCTGGAAAGCAAAGACTGAGGAAAAGAAGTGAAAGTGTTGGCAGCTCCCAAGCCAGGGAAATCCACAAGAAGTAAATTAGGTAGTGGGCTACAAGCCTCTTCCCAGGAACCCCATCTCGGTTAGCCATCATTTCGGTTGTGTGTCTTTTTTTAGGAGAGAGAGTTAATAGAGTGAGAGAGAGATAAGCTGCCATCTGTCAGAACTGATTTTTTTTTTTTTTTTTCCCAGCAGGAGCAAGAGGTTAACCAGAGATAATGGTTCCTGTTGGCCAAGATCTGTCTCTTCTCCCCACACTCCCTCCAGAGAAGCTGGTGGTGGTGGCCCTCCAGAGCTGTGCTAGCCAGTACAGTCACCTCGAGCCACCTGTGGCTCTGGAACACTTGAAATGTGGCTGTAAGTGTTAAATGTGCAGCAAATGTAAAATACACACTGGATTTTGAAAGCTTAGTATAAAAAAACTCATCATATGTAACTGATTTACATGTTGAAATAGTATTTTGGATACATCAGGTTAAAAAACATTTATTATTAAAAGCAATTTCGCCGGGTGCAGTGGCTTAAGCCTGTAATCCCAGCACTTTGGGAGGCCGAGGTGGGTGGATCACGAGGTCAAGAGATCGAGACCATCCTGGTCAACATGGTGAAACCCCGTCTCTACTAAAAATACAAAAAATTAGCTGGGCATGGTGGCGCGTGCCTGTAATCCCAGCTACTCAGGAGGCTGAGGCAGGAGAATTGCCTGAACCCAGGAGGCGGAGGTTGCAGCGAGCCAAGATTGCACCACTGCCAGACTGGGTAACAAGAATGAAACTCCGTCTCAGAAAAAAAAAAAAGTAATTTCACTTCTTTCTTTTTGCTTTTTAAATATAGCTACTAGAAATTTTTAAACCATATATGTAGCTTGTATTATATTAGACAATGCCAGAGCCTGGACCAGCAAACCTACACACACAGACACACACAGCTAGGCACAGTGTTCTCTACCTCCCCACCTCCAAGTATAAAATGATTACTATCCTTCCTCTGTAAATCTGTGATCTTCTTGTGCTTCGAAAATCAATCAAGCCTTTTTTCACTGATCATATCCTATGGCCCAAATACCCATATATGAGAGAGGCTACTTTATTTATTTATTTATTTATTTTTGAGATGAAGTCTCACTCTGTTGCCCAGCCTGGAGTGCAGTAGCACAATCTCAGCTCACTACAACTTCTGCCTCCCAGGTTCAAGCTATCCTCCTGCCTCAGCACCCCCTAGTAGCTGGGATTATAGGCATGCTCCACCATGCCCAGCTAATTTTTGTATTTTTTAAAGTAGAGACAGGGTTTCGCCATGTTAGCCAGGCTGGTCTTGAACTCCTGACCTCAGGTGATCCACCCACCTCAGCCTGCTGAAGTTCTGGGATTACAGGTATGAGCCACCACGCCCGGCCACTTTTTATTTTTTTACCAGCATCTCCGTACTCACTATTATGTACTGTGTTGGCCTGTTCTATTTTCTACTTAAGGTGGAAGCCCCTTGAGGGCAGAAAGGTCATAGAATCAATTCTTTGTGCACTCTCGTAAATTCTGCTGCAGATGTCTTCACCCTATATTCAGTCAGTGAAGCCAGTATTTGATGCCCACACATACCGCCACATGTTGCCCTTTCTGAAAAATATCCCAATCATCCGGCATTTCTCATTTCCTAAGAATCTAAAACCAGGATCAGAGCTCTACCTTTATAAATTCAATAATCTTTGTATGTAGGGCAACCTAGCTTTGACTGCAGAGGAATAAAAAAGAGGGTGAGCATGCAGCTGGTGGGCAGAGAAAGTAACTTGGAAGCCTCTCTCCCTCCTATACAGAAACTCCCCAGAATAGGCATCTGAGTCTCAGGGTTCACCTGTCTTTACCTCACAGGACTCCCATCCCACGACGTGAAAGAACACCGGAGATGTGTTCACAGTCACTCAGCAAGGAGAGTCTGATGAGAGGTCCCACTCTTCTCCCCTAAACTCTGCCTCTTCTCTCGGACTGACACCTTCAATCTAGAGACCACGAACTAAGCAAAAGACTAGAGGCATTTTGCTGCCTGCAGCTGTCTCCCCAATTACTGACTGGGAGGAGGAGTGAGGGGAGTTCATTTTAATTCATTTTTGTGAATGTTTAATATTTCAATTAATATGATTAGCCCCAAGCCTGAATGATCAGCAGGGCGGCAGATCTGCTGAGAAGACATAGAGTAATGAGATCAACAGGGCCATAGGGTCTTCCCCTTCTCCATCCTCAGAGGGCATGATCTGTTTAGCATCTCCATAAATACCAAGATCAGATTAGAAGCAAGGAAAGGAGCAGTGGGGGTGGGGTAGGTGAGTGGAAAGTTACTTTCAGGATGTGTTTGCCCTTCGTGATTCCCTGGCTCTGCCACCACTCGTTTCTTCTGAGGACCAACCACTGAGTCCTCTAGCACCTACCCCCATTGCTACCCCATTTTAGGGGACCCTGCGCGGGGTTGGGGGGGAACCTGAGCATCCATGCGATGAAGTGTAATCAAGTCTACACCCATACACATTCCCTCAAATGCAAGCACCTGCGAGAGTGTGGCTCCAGGCCACAGCAAAAAACCAGGCCAAGGAAGGATGAGAGGTGATAACTGAATCAAGCACAAAAAAGAAGGGCTCTCTCTCACCCAGGGCTTAAACGGAGACAGAAGAGGAAAAAAGGCCAGACTTCACCGCTGTTCCCATTCCTAAGAGGAATGTTTGACGTGGGAGTTAAATGCGTGGACTCAGGAGCCAGGGCTCCAATCTCAGCGAGACCTCTTTCTAGCTGCATGGCTTTGGCAAGTTATTTCAGCTCTGTGTCTTGGTCACCTCTTCTCTATTTGGAGATAATGACAAAATCTACATCATGGGGGGTGGTGAGGGTTTAGGAGTTAGTAAATGTAAAGCACTTGGCACGAAGCCTGGGACACTGTAAGAGCCATGTAAGCACTGGCTGTTACTATTATTTTCCTTCCAGAAGAGAAGCCTGCCTGCCGTGATAGCTCAGGAATGGAGGCCCCTGGGATTTGGCTGGGACACAGTTCAGAGACACGAGTGCCTTTGTGGAAACGGCAGCCCCACCCTGGGTGAAGAAGGGAATGACAGGAAGGCAGGGTGCTCTACAAAAGCCTAGAGCCCCAGGAGACCCCCCGCCCCCCCCTTTCATTGCTGAGCACTGACGAAAGTAAGGGCTGGCACGACTGACAAGGTTTGATGTCTGCAGATAATCCCTGCACTGAGGGCATGCTCTGAGTGGGCCCAGTGCATGGAGGGGTCAAGCTCCCTCCAGATCCTGGAGCCCGCCAATCATCCATAGAAGTATCCATGTTCAAGGGAGCAATGGTCCCCGAATGTGCCTCCCCTGCTCCTCTGTGCTACCTGACTCAATTTGAGTCCCACTCAAGGAACCCCACTGAAGAAAGAATCAAAGGAAAGAGTAATTGGGTTTCTGCATCCTAAGGGGGAGCTTGACAGCTGTGGTTCTTCCCACGAAGGACTCAGGAATCCACTGTGTCAAGAGGTTTTTTGCATGAAGTGTTTGTTAAGCGCCTGCTACGCATGAGCAAGACAGGGTGCTAGACACTGTGAACAGTAAGATGCTGAATTAAACGGTGTCCTGGTCTTCAAGGAGCTTACAAGTGAGAGCGCCTGCCGCGCCGCCTCCACCGCCTTCCTGCCCACGCACTTATACACACAAACCTCCCAGAGGGAGAGAAGGGGGCGTCGGCAAATGCCAGAAAGCGATCGCTTTTTTAAAAATTTCTTTTCTGGAAAATACACAGTTCTCTTTCTGCATTCGTCTCATCCTGCTCTCCCCTTCCCCACCTTACTTTCCATTTTTCCTCGCTGCATTTTTTTCTTTTTCCCCCAGACTCTGCGACCTGCTTTCCTCTCCATATACACCTCCTTCCCCTTCAGCCTGCCCAACCGTCCTATCCCATTTTCTTTTCCCTGACTTCTTTCCTAGACTCTCTACTCTCAGGGCTCCCCAGATGCCGGGCTCCCCTCTTTCCCCCAACCCCCATCTCCTGAGTCTTCCAGCACCGGGGACAGCTCCAGCCCCCGGAACAATGGACCCCACTTTAGGGTTCCTCTATAAATTCTCCAT